ACAGAGAGAGACAGTGAGAGCAGGAACGCAAGCAGGGCGGGTGGGAAAGGGAGAAGCAGGCCTCCTGCCAAGCAGGGAGCCCAATGCGAGGCTTGATCCCAGGACACTGGGATCATGAGCTGAGCCGAAGGCAGACACTTAACGACTGAGCCACCCAGGCACCCCTATAAGGCTTTTTTAAAAGACCATCATTGGGATGCCTGGGTGGCTCAGTCAGTTAAACGTCTGCCTTTGGCTCAGGTCATGATCCCAGGATCCTGCGATTGAGTCCCGCATTGGGGAGCCTGTTTCTCCCTTTGCCTGCCGCTCCCCCTGCTTGTGCTGCTCACTCTTGCTCCCTTGCTCTCTCTGACAAATAAGTAAATAAAATCTTAAAAAAAACAAAAAACATTTTTGATAATGATTGTTCACAATATGGCAAGAAATTAAACCAATCAAAAGTTTGGGGAAAAGTTTTTTTTTTTCCTTTTTTTTTTTATTTAAAGATTTTATTTATTTGAGAGAGACACACAGAGGGAGACTGAGAGGGAAAAGAAGACTGCCTGCTGAGCAGGGAGCCCGACACGGGGCTTGATCCCAGGACCCTGAGAGTATGACCCAAGCCGAAAGCAGATGCTTAATAAACTGAGACACTCAAGCGTCCCTGGAAAAAAATTTTTCAACATTTCTCAAGAATAGATTTGCTTGGGAATACCGAACAAAAGTGCTTCATTAAAATAAAAAATTGAATAGATCAAGATTTTTGTACTAAGGTAAAAACGAAGTCCATGAGACAAAAGTATAAACCAGAGCTACTTTAAAACTGGTGATACTGTTGGTTATATTCTTTATAACAGATATGTCTATTTTACGGGAACTAATTATCAATTGAATTCATCATAAAAATCATACTGCGTCACTAGTCTTGTTCATACATATAAATCACTATTTAAAGCAAATATTTTACTTCACATCTCCTTACACAGAAGCATAACTATGAAAAAGTGCTGTTAAGACATTTTGGAACCACTAAGATACTTCACTGGATTTAATCAGTTTGAGTAACTTATACAAGAATAAGTGGATATACAAAGTGTATTAGAAGACACACAAAATCAGATTCATAACAGAACATAAACTGTATTACAAGTTAATAAAAACAAAAATAAATATGGATTCAAAAGTTCTTTTCAATAACAAAAACAATTTTTGTATATATGACTTTCTAATGAGGAATTCATTTTAATTAGAAGTATGACTGAATGTGAAACATTGAATAGAATGTAGATAGTTTAATATAGTGTACTGAGAGTTGATATGATCCCTTGTTTTTAATGATTTTCCCCTTTAATTAAAGGGGATCTGGAAACATGCTCTATTAGGAAGAAAAACCTAAAATGTGAACAGCTCTTTTCAGTAAAGCAACAAATAAATGCCAGAGTTTCACAGAGAAAAACTGTTTAAAAACAAGAATATTAAATATTGTACTTAAATAATATCTTTCTAAAAATCAGTAGCCTTTCTGGATACTCATATACCATTTATTGCTCTAGGCCTGAGTTAGTATGAGAAAACTACTAGGCTTCAACAAATGAGGGTTCTATGCCAGGGATATGGTGATCACTATAATGGGATACTTTTTCCAACCCTTACACCCAGTGCAGTACCTATCAATGTAGGACAATGACTCCATTTTGAATAAATTATCTCAGTGGCCTCAACCAGGCAAGCTAATTAGAAATATGGGTTTCACGTAAAGGCCACTGTTTTACATGCCTGGAATCTAGGCCCCACCTTTTAGAAGACTCTTGATTCTCCAAGGGAAACTATCCAAGGGTGAGAATGTAATTTGGTCCTGGTGATTTGATTAAAAATTGACTGATTCAAAGATGAGCAAGATCCAGCCAAGCCAAGCCAAGCCAAGCCAAGCCAAGCCAAAGACAGCTAGCATTGAGACTGGCAAAAAATGTGCTTTCCTTTGGGGTGCTAAGCTGGTTGAATGTAAACATGGAGAATGTTAGCCTGAGAATGAATTTTGTTTTAAACATTTATTTATTTTAGAGAGAGAGGGCACACATGCAAGCAGGAAGAGTGGCAGAGAGAGAGAGGGACAGAAAGAACCCCAAGCAGATCCCCCCCAGGGTGCAGAGCCCAACTCGAGAGGCTTAATCTTGCGACCCTGACCCCAAGACCATGACCTGAGCTGAAATCGAGTCGGATGCTCAATGGATTGAGCCACCCAGGTGTGCTTTGGCTTTTTGTCATTTCCAATTAAAAGCTGTGACTAACACAATTTACTGGGCAATGTCCAAATTATTTTAAACTCCAAAATTCCATGAGTCTAAGTTTTAAAAAAAGATTTTGGAAGTAAAGGAATCTATTATTGGCTGAAATATCTATACTAACAATGTTTAAAAAATTAATCAATGCGTTCAAGTAAAAGCAAAATGGACAATGAGGTTGAATGACTGATAATAATCCTGATTCTGCCAACTTGCAATGTGAATCTCTCTGGGCCTCTATAAATATGAGAATATGAGAAATTGAATGATTAGCTAACCCTGAAGCTCTTACAAAGTCCTGGATTTTAAGCATTGTAAGAAAATTATCATTCTTAGTTAATTTGACTATAAATGATTATCCTTCATTAATTTATTCCTCCATCAAACATTTAGAGTGTCTATTGTTTAACATGCACCGTAACTGGTACTGAGAAGACAGGGACGAGTAAAACTCTGCCCCCGCCACCAAGGAGTTCACGGTCTAGCAAGGCAGAAAAGCATCTAAACAATCAGATAATTAACCTACGTGAAAAAGGAAAAAAAAAAAATTCAAGTATATATGAAGTACAAAAATAGCCTGGGACTGACTGATCATCTGGGAAGAGTGAAGAAAAGCTTCAAAAAGCAATGATGTCTGAAATGAATTTTAAACGATGAAAAGTAAGCCAAATTAAGAGGAACAGGATAGTCCTAGACTGAAGAAGTAGATTTTTCGAGGGTTTTATAAGCAGTTCAATACTGACGGAGCACAAAATGGGGGGGGGGGCAAGGAAATGCAAAGAGCTTTTCACAGATTATGAAGGATTTCACATGCTATGCTAAACAGGATGGAATTTACTCTGTAAGCATTGAGACGACCCTGTAAGGATTTTTTTTTTTTTTAAAGATTTTATTTATTTATTTGAGACAGAGAATGAGAGACAGAGAGCATGAGAGGGAGGAGGGTCAGAGGGAGAAGCAGACTCCCTGCCGAGCAGGGAGCCTGATGCGGGACTCGATCCCAGGACTCCAGGATCACGACCTGAGCCGAAGGCAGTCGCTTAACCAACTGAGCCACCCAGGCGCCCAAGGATTTTTTTTTTAACGTGAGAAAATTTATCAGATAATTTTAATGTACTATTTTTTATAAGAGTTCAAATAAGCATTTAGTATTCCAAAATTGTGAATAACATACTAGTTATCTTTATGAAGCCAGAGAAAAAAATTCATTTAGTTATGTAATTATGCCTTTTAAACTGTAATGTGCCTGGCATAATCATCTAACAAGTTATAGTCAGTATTTGATAAATATCTGATGAAGGAACTGTGGTACCCAGATTAATATGAGAGGAAGTGGGGCTTAACAATAAAGATTTTAAAATGCAGAACGGGAGGGGCACCTGGGTGGCTCAGTTGGTTAAGCGCCTGCCTTCGGCTCAGGTCATGATCCTGGAGTCCTGGGATCGAGTCCCACATCGGGCTCCCTGCTCGGCAGGGAGTCTGCTTCTCCCTCTGACCCTCCCCCTCTCATGCTCTCTGTCTCCCATTCTCTCTCTCAGATAAATAAATAAAACCTTAAAAAAAAAAAAAAGATTTTAAAATGCAGAACGGGAAAAAGTGCAAAAGTTTTTTAAGGATCCTTTCAAGTCTCCAGGGACATAAACCCCTTCCTCAAAAGTAGACAACCTTGGGGCGCCTGGGTGGCTCAGTCGTTACGTGTCTGCCTTCGGCTCACGTCATGATCCCAGGGTCCTGGGATCGAGCCCCGCATCGGGCTCCCTTCTCTGCGGGAAGCCTGCTTCTCCCCCTCCCACTCCCGCCGCTTGTGTTCCCTCTCTCGCTGTGTGTCTCTCTCTGTCAAATAAATAAATAAAATCTTAAAAAAAAAAAAAGACAACCTTTTTGTTAATGACTTTTTCCCTTCGATATAAGCTATTCATGACTTTAAAAAGGCCTCTATTCTTTTCTCTCCCAACTCCCCTCTCTTTATTTGATACTGGTACGAGAATCCCAGCCGTTACCGTAGTCCAGTCTTCCCGGACACAGTCCAAGACTAATTATCTTTTCCAAAATTATAAACTCTGCCTCCGCTTCAAAATCTCAGGAATGCCCTCATGTTCAAATTCGAAAATGCTCATAACCATTTCAATATCAGACGTTGCTAGATCATTTCTATAATGCTCACTGCTACAACCCCAGAGCACACTTTCATCACTTTAAATCCACACTACCACAGCTCTACTCTCTCTATTCGGCGCTACGAATCTCATTAAAGCGAGGAGCACAGAATTTGGTATGTATATATTTATATATATATATAATCAGGTGTATTTAATATGTGTGCTCATTCTAGGGACTTAGCTATTTATATTTGTTCCTTATTAGAGAAATAAATGATTTCTCACTGTCAACAAGGTCTGTCACCAGATAAGGGTTCGTATAAAACCAGTGTTGTACACCCGGGGTAACAAATTCAACTTGCACTTTCTGATCCTATCTCCCTTCCTCAATTCCAGTGGAACCTAAAGCGACAGGAAGGAATGATGGATGGGCCAAAAGGGAGGGGAACGCTGGAGCCCAGAGGCGGGGGCCTCACTTCCGATTGCCACGCTACACCAAGAAACCCAAAGGCCCTCTAGCTCTTCCACAACTCACAAAGAAAGGTGGATAAGACACCAGTGCTTCTCGGGTTATCCCCAAGAGCAAAGACACAAAAAGAAACTGCTCTGAAAAACAACCCCTTGCTCGTTCAGGACTCACCTGTCAGGAGCGGCGTGGACGGCGCCATCTTGTCCCGGAAAAAGAAACCCATGCGCTTGGGTCAGAGTTCACGAGAGCCAAACCCGGCCCCTACACGTCTCCTCAGGCGTGGAAACCGCGCAAAGCTGTTTCCGGTATCAAAAACTTCGGGGCCAATTCACTTCCGGTTGGAGAGAGCAGCGGAAAAGGAGCCCGAACGCGCACGCGCAGCTCCGGGGCAACACTTTAAAGAGCGTCGCGGGGCTGGACGAGGGCCCGTGCGCCCGCCTTCGTCCTCCCTCTCCGTCTGCTTCAGCAGGCGGAGCCCGCACTTCCGCGGGGCGGAGCCCGTCCAGTGCTGACGTTGGCAGCCGAACCCGAAGTAGTTCGAGGCTACGGACAGCGCTGCCCGGTTGTTGCGTTGCATTTCCTTCCTCTTTCACTCCACGCTCCCGGCGGCGGCCAGAGCGGCGGTGCAAGACTATCCCGGCGGCCTGCTGTCGTCCCGCGCGCCCGCCTCCCGGCCGGCCAGTCCGGCGTCGTCAGTCGGCGCCCCGCGCCCGGCTAGCGCTCGTCTAGCCCAGGCCCAGCGGCCGGAGCTAGCGCCCCGCCTGAGAGCCTCCAAGCTCCGGCGGCGCAGGCACCAGGAGCAGAGCGTCGCGGCGGCCCAAGGAGAGGCGAGCGAGCGCGTCCAAGGGGTGGCTGGGGCAGGTGGTGGCGCCGCGAAGATGGTCGCCAAGCAGCGAATCCGTATGGCCAACGAGAAGCACAGCAAGAACATCACCCAGCGCGGCAACGTCGCCAAGACCTCGGTAAGGAATGAGCAGGCGCCCCTCGGTCCGGCAGCCCGGGCTCAGGCCTGGGTCGTAGGGCCGCGTCGAGTTCTCCCCGAGACCCGAGGCTAGCGGACCAAGGCCGCAAGCTGGACGCTAAGTTGGCGGGGGCAGGCTGGGGGGAGGGGGTTCGGGAAGGTGGGTGCTGGAGCTTGGCGGTTCGGGAACAGAGAGGAAACCTGTGAGGTGAGAGGACCCGGCCACCTGACCCAAGGTGTAGGCTGCAGGAGCCCGGGGTCGGAGCGGGGTTTTGCATTTGAAAAGGGAATTTTCATTTTTGCAGAGAAATGCTCCCGAAGAGAAGGCGTCTGTAGGACCCTGGTTATTGGCTCTCTTCATTTTTGTTGTTTGTGGTTCTGGTAAGTGTTTTGGGGCTACCTTTGGGTAAGGGCGTTGGATGTAGGGCTTGGGATGACGTGGTGACCCATCAGTGGTGAATCCTACCAGCGTAGTTCTCAACTCACCTGCCGGGAGCCCCACAAAAGTCACTTTCATCTGAACCGAATTGCTTGTCCCACATATGCACAGAGGGTGGTGCTCCAGAAACTTCTCACAGCTTGATCTGTGCTCACAGGAGATCAGAAAAGGAGGTCAGGTCCTTAGTAATGATCAAGTTGGAAGAAATTTAGACCAAAACAAAAAACCCTTACGGAATGAGAATTCAGAATGTTTTGCAGCCTCATTATCGATACATTGCAAAAAAAGCTTAGGAACATGATGTACGTATGGACGTTGAACTTAATTTAACGTGTCCCTGAATCTAATGTCTTTATGTCAAAATTGGGTATATTTTATAGAGTAAAGCTCTTGCAAAGAATTGATTCTTTATAAAGGAAACGGACCTGATTGGCAACTTAATGTATGAGATAAATGTTTTTAGATTAATTAAAGAAACGTTTGCCATATGGTAGGAAAAATAAGTTAGTAGATTATCCTGCTGTTAAATTAATAGATTGTTGCCTCTGCATATTACAGAATACCTTTCCTCTCTTCATTTATTATCTTAATATGCAGGTTGTTGATATTGAAGTACATGTTTCTGTTTTTTACATTCTGACATTCTAAAGTTACTGAGGTTTCTCTTAAACATTTCACTTTGCCTGCCTCCTAAACTTACGAGTTAGAAGCTTTTTTGATAAATGGCCAAGAGCCAAGCAATTTATATAACCTAAAGATTATCAAATTTCAGCTTTGTGAGAATGAGGAAACCTGGTTATATTACAGGCCAGGCCTTAGAAGGACACTTAATATTTTGGGGATAAATCAAAAATAATTCTATGCTAGAAAAACCTCTTTGCTTTGGCACTTTAAGTTCTTTCTAAAATGATTGCATATTGCGAAATCTCTTGGACGTTTAGAAATAAAATTCAGAGAAACTGAAATTTAAAAATTAATTTAGACATTGAATTGTTAGAGTAGGCTTGTCTTCATTTTTTATTTCAGTGAAGTTACATAGCATTTGCAGGTAAGTTTAAGGGTGCGCTTGGATTCTTGTGAACTACCTTAATAAGTATCAGTTGCCAGACCTATTTTATTCAAAGCATGCATACTAAAACATTTGCTCTTTCTCTTTACAGCAATTTTCCAGATTATTCAAAGTATCAGGATGGGCATGTGAAGTGACTGACCTTAAGGTGTTTCCATTCTCCTGTGAATTTTAACTTGAACTCATTCCTGATGTTTGATACCCTGGTTAAAAACAATTCAGTAAAGCATCCTGCCTCAGAATGACTTTCCATATCATCCTTCATTTGTCATTCCAAGGTTTCTTCACGAGTCATTCCAAGTTTTCTAGTCCATACCACAGTGCCTTGCAAAAGCACCACATGAATAAAGCAATAAAATTCTATTGTTAAGCTACAGTAGTGGACCCTACTTATTCAGTCAGTAAAGAGTAAATTTTTTTTAATGTGGTTATTAAAACAGTATCCAGTATAGATAATTAGATTAAGTCTATGTAGACAGGGTCTAGATTTTGTTAACCCTAATGTGTAAATGCAATTAGCTTAATTTAAAATTTGGAGTTTGGTTTTTATATAGCTAGGCACTTTGTTACTGTATCTTGAATTGAAAGCACACTCCCATATAAGGTCATGTTAACTGTCCTGTAATAAAGTGCTTTTAATGGAACAACTACACAGCCTAGTTTATTTCCCATAATCTTTAGCACCTAAATTTTTTAAAAGCTTCTAAATGCTTAATACAAAGGGAGATGCTTATAGCTGCAACATCTATTTTAACAATGTTATTTCTGTTACACTACCTTGGATTTTGCATGAGTAATTATACTAACCTGAAATGCCATAACAAAACAACTTGATTGAGCATTTTGTAACTTAATGAGTTTCATTTTCCCTAAAAGCTACCATGGTGGAGTAAAATCAGGGAAAGTTTATGTCACCATTGATTTCACCAGAATTACTTTAATATATCAAAGGGGTCTACTGTGCTAGACAACATTTTAGGGAAAAATACTACTAAAACTGGGTGTCTCATCAGGACATACTGATGAGTCCCATGTGCCATAAGACATCTTAGCACATTAATAGCACTTTTAATACCAAAAAAGGCACATCAACTAAAAAGTTACTTAGTGTTTGGAAATAATTTTCTAGATTTATGATTAAAATTTTGTTAGGGTACTAGATACATCAGACTGAAGTGCCCTCTGGAAGTAAATGGATTTACTGATAAGGATGTCTTTATAGTCTTCCCTTTGTTGTATAATTTTATAGGTTATGATTGATCAAAGTTTCTTTTTACTAATGGTAAGGGTGAGAAGGCATGTTTTGGGTTTTCTGGTACTGTTGAAAATTGTTAAGTTTTGGCTATTTAAATACTTAGTCATAACTTGATTTAAAAAAAAATAAAGCCTGAGAGGTGTCTCTGTATCAGTGAATTGGAAAGAAAGCTGCTCGTTTGCTTTGTTAATTGCCTCAGGATATCTCTTTTAAAATAAGCTGTTTTAAAAGGAACAGAAGGGAAGTCTGCTACCTAATACACAGTGTGAACCTCAGAGCTTCTGATACCCCTAAATGTAGGGGGAGAATGAGGGAGAGGAGCAGTTAAGAATGTTTAGGAATTTAACTACTCAAGAATAGGAAAGGAATCAGCCGACCTTGGACCAGCAGGTTTTTATCTGCACTGTTACCTGCCTTTCTCACCCAGGAAATCAACCCTGTACTTGTTTCCTTCTTTGAAGCCAGTGTCTTGGTTGACTAATTCTATTTTATTGTAACTTTAAAAATGAAAGTTACTGTTCTAAATTTATAGCAGGTGCCTTATTCTTTGCTTTGAGTCAAACCATTCCATATTAGAATTTCCCCTGGTTTACTTTAGATAATTGGCTTTAAGATGTTAGGGTTTGGGTTTTTTTTAATTGTACAATGTATTAATTTGACTGTTAAATTGCTATAGCTAGCAATCATTTTACATATGTAAAGTTGCATTCCCTTTGTATTTCATGTGTAATTTCCTAATTGAGAACATTTTATATTAAGGATGGATTATGCATGTTTGGGTCAATGAAAGCTATGTCTTATTTGATTTATCCTTTAAAAATAAAGTTCCCTGAATATTTGATGCCTTCTAAAAGGAAATGATTTTACAGATGTCTTACCGGAGTGTACTTTTTGTAGTTAATAGAAAATTATTTTAAAGAATGCCTAGTATTATGTTGTACTTGAGTTAAAATAAATAGTACCCAGAGACACATTAAAAGTTCATAACTGGGAATAAGTAGCAAGAAATACATTAAAAGCACAGTGAATTAAATACTTCCTTTCCTAGGATTTACCCTCATCTCATTATCCAAGTCTCATTCAAGGAAAAATAGTTCTTTCAAATCTCCCTTTCCCAGTTGAATTTTATGTCATCCAATGTTGAACACAGTATGATAATATTGAGGGGTTGTCTGCATTATCCAATTACTCTTTGTCATTTACCTTTAACATTTCAAGGAGTTGTCAATGATTTCATTGTATCTGTTGGGTTGTATATAATGTTACTCAAAATAATTGGGCTTCCAAAATAAGGAAAGCTTTTCACTGTAACAGGATGTATTGTAATGGGCTTTGACTTACATCAAAGAAGTGTGTATCTTCAGCTGTGGGGCCACAGCTCTTCTCACTGAGGTTACTGGGGTTTTGCTGGCACAAAGGAATATCATGGAGATCTGGATTGTGTTCTTGGGAGGTTCATCATCAACAAAATTTTATTGCTCATAAAGCATCTG